TCATTCGAAATCTCCGAGTCCTCCTCGCGTATGGCGGCAACCAAATCCGAATTGGGTCCCGAGCCGAATGACATGCGTTGCACGTCCAGAAAACCCTGTCTCTTATACACATCTAGATGTGTATAAGAGACAGGTCTTACTATTAACATATTATCTAAAAAGAAGAATAATTTTTTTAATAATTTTTTCATAACCAAAAATATGTCTCAAATATCCAATTACTGTTCAAGAAGGAAAAATGAAATTTCAAAGTGTAGTACTACATACATAACCTGATAATTTGATAGAGGAGACCTAACTTTCCAAAAATATTTTATAAAATTTGCGCTTAAGCACTCAATTATTACTCAAAAATTATTATTTTGAATATTTTTTATAATTTCAATATTTCCAAAATAAAAATGTATAATTGCAGACACACAATTTAAGTTAGATGAGAGTTTACTATAAAAAAAAACTTTTATAACCTAAAATATGACCTGAGTTTTTGCGCTCAAGAAAGAAATTTAAAATAAAAATTTATAACTGCAGACATAACCTTAAAGTTGAAAAGAATGCTGGATACATACTATAATAAAAAATATTTTATAATTTTAAATATGCGCTGAACACTTTTTTACAAGTCATTGATAATATATCTTCTTGATTGGCGTAGTCACCGCTTACGCGATTATAGCCGAGTGACTATTGATAACATATACAAAATTATAATTGCAGACATAACCTCAAAGCTGAAGAGCCTTTTAAGGTCATATGTATATGAAAACTTCAAAAATAGTGCACATATGTATGTAGACAAATATACGTATATATGAATAATAASACTCTGCAATACTAAACGAAATATCATTACCTGGGAACATGTTTAAAAAAACATATGTAAATATAGCACATWCAAGTAAATAAATTGTTTTTTGCTTTAAAGACTGGCTAAAGATATTATTTTGTAAGCTTAAAATGGGAAAATTCAACTTACCATCGAAATGTGTGGGTTTATCAATGGGTTTCAACATTTTCTGTTGCGTGGCGCGTATGCGCTCCATCTTACGCTTGATCTTTACCAAAATCTCGTTTTCATGCTGCTGACGATGCTSGATTTGCTTCTGCCGCAGGTCCTCGATTATGTCAGCACCTCTGCAGAAATMAAAAATTTCACAATATAAAGAGTACGCAAGTTTTTTAGCGCTTTAATTTACCTGGTCGCCAAAATGCTGTTCGCCTTCGTGTCGATAATCAGATGACAGAAGTAATGTGACTTGAATATGCGCATTTGTAGTATAAGGAATGCGAAGCAGATGGTGTCCCACATCAGCATCGACGATTTATTTATCTCCGGGCAGTCGGAGTCGTCCTTACTCAGTGGATCGTTCACGTTGGGGTCCGTGGGGAAATGACATGATACGCCCAATAAATGCACCAGCCAACAGCAATGCTTAGTTAAATCTTTCAAAAATAGACAACCAGCCATTTCGAGACACGTCTTCACAACGATATTGAAGACATTATAAGCCAGCAGCCAACGCCAACGGCCGATAATTTGTTGWATGGGACGTAAATAGAAATCGGAGCCCTCCCATAGGAAGATGAAGGCGCCAATCAGATAACCCAACGTGAGGAAATCGCTCATATTCGTGCCGGCCAAGAACACCGTGGCCAATGTGACCCAAAAGAAGCCACACAACACGGCATACATGAAGATATCCAAATAGTTGCGCACGTGCGAAAGRAAATCGTTTGTAGGATTCACAAATGCCACGCGTCCCAAATTTTCAATATCTTTAACCACATTGCGATTCGAACCGCCGGCGTATTGATCGCCGTAACGCAACTCAATGCGGAATATACGTTTTTGGCGTGTCACGAAAAGCAGTAGAATGAAATCGAAGATCAACTTTTTAGTGTGGTCATAATGCATGCCACCGGGTAACAGCAGCCAACCTTGTATGGGTGCGGAAAAGCGGGAGTTCTCCCAGGGGTAATCTGAAATTGATGATGGTGGAGTAAATATAAAAAACAAACAGTTGATTAATATAAAAATTTCATAACATTTGCAAATAAAACATTTGGTTATCACCCACCGATACACAGGCTCGGCGGCAAACCGAGCAAAACTAAATATTGCAGAAAAATGCTCAACGCAATGAACACTTGGAATATGCCCCACACCGAACTGCGCCTGGCGCGGCTAAACATCAAGAGCACAGCCAACCAGATCACATAGAATATCGCTACCACATCCTGACGATAGGCAATTGTCGTGACGAGCATTATCAATGAGATTTCTTGTCCGAATTTATAAAAACCATAATTGAAAAGATATTGTATCATTGATTTGAGATTCGTTTCGGCTTTGGCGCGATCCGTCGCCGGGAAGAGCACTTTCGTTTCCGCCTTGTTCTCATTGTCGGCCATTGCGCGCATTTGGAATTGTCTTAAACTGACCACGGCGTGCAGCGTAACAACGATCATATAGATGATATACATTTTTATCAGACCGATTAAGCCGTTTGTGGTATCATCGGCTTTCTGCAAGCCGAACCATAAGGCACTGTTGCCATGTATCGTGTCCTCATCTTGCTGCAAGCAAAGGAGGGAGATATATTTTTTGAAAGTTTTGAAAAAAAAAAAAATTTTACAATTGGCAATTTGTGTTTACTTACACATCTCACATCGTAATCCTCGTGCGTTAAATAGCCGATCTGATAGATCATCTTCGATAGTATTATTATGGAAACAACGAAGGAGATTATGCGACTGATGAATATTTGTATAGAACTTCGCGTTATACAACCCAGTACACATAATGCTACGAACACGACGTGAATTACGCAGACCTGGAAGCATACGCGAAAAAAAWWAATTRTAAAAAACTAGAAACGTAATGTTAATAAATATACATAYTTAGTTTATTGGAAAATAAGTTGGGTTCGTATGAAGGACTAGTTTAATAAATAACTACAGTTGAAAATTAAAAAATTTGCTCACCGAAGGGTGCTCGGAAACTTTACTTTTTTGGGAAAATTTTTAGTATATAACATATGTGTATAATTCATGATGAAGCATCCCCAAATGGGTTGAGGCTGAACGACTTCGCCGCGGCTCGAAATAGTGTTATCTCTAGTAATAGATTCCAGCATAGAAAAATTTATCAAGCTATTTGGCTGTCTCCGGATCGAAAAGGCAGATCGATTATATTCTGATAGACAGAAGGCATGTCTCCAAGGTTTTAGATCTGCGAGGCCCACTATCTTGTTGCAGCCAAGATACGCGCGTCAACAAACAAAACGAAGGTTCAACGTCCAGAAACTGCAATCACAACAGACAGCCGAACGATTTCTACTCGACTTGCACTCCTACTCTCTAAGAGCCGTTATAAGAAACTCGGTATAAGGGAAGTGTGGGACGGATTTCAAGCTATTTACGTACAGTTGCAAACGAAATTATTGGTATTCGGAAAAAGCAAAGAAAACAGACTGCCTACTTCTCAACGTTACAATCGACAACAGTACGTGCTGGATTGAGAGTTGAAGAGGGAAGCGGGACGCATTTGCAGACAGAAAAAGAGAGAGGCCGAAAGTATKAAGAGTTTGACAAGCTGGTCGACAGGGATAATGATTGAAAAGTTTACGAAAAATGCGGGAACAAAAGTTTCAAGACCGGCGATTACTCTTGTAGAACCGCCACAGGTGATCTAGTGACTGATGCCTAGATCATACTAAAATTATGCAGGGAATTCACTGAATGGCAGTGAAAGCATAACATCAGTAGATGGTGGAGCCGGTTCCCCAATCGATGACGATGGAGCGGATTTTTCATTTCTCGACCATGAAGAAGGTCGAAKAGCAATTACTCGTCGGAAGAATATTTAAAGAGCGAAGAACAGCTTCTTTATAGAAAATGGTCGAACAAAAGCATGCCCGACGATTGTAATTTAAATATGCTCTGCCCAATACAAATTATTCAAGCCACCAGTTTCCGAACAAGTGAACCCCATTCAAGTCCAATTACAGGATTATAAAATGTCCTGCTACAACCGAAATTATCTCTTCCTTACTTCTTATTTTTTAAACAAGAAAAATTTTCATAAAAGTAAAAAGTTATTTCAATTAAAATGAAACTTACCTGACTAACGGCACACACAAACGCCGTAATATAAACGGCTTTTATGATGTGCAACTCCAGGAAACGCCAAAACAGYTTTTTCGAAACAATGAAATAATGATTTGTTATCTTGCGTATACGTTTCAGAGATGAAACCAATAGTTTGGCGGCTTCATTACTGCCACGCGGCTCTGTCTTAGGCGGTTTGCCCATCTCTCTATTATATACCATATCGGGTAATAAGGATGGCTTGCGCTGATGCAGCGATTCGATGAAGCGACGATGAAAATAATGCACTTGTATGACGGTTAAGACCACAATCAGCGTGGGTGAGACGAGATGTAGGAACAGGTCTTTCGTTTTATAACGCTCCAAACCGATATCATTTTGACTGGGAGAAGAGAAAAAAAGAGGAAAGTTAAGTAATTACACTTAAAAAATTCCAAAAATTTCCAAGGTGCGACTACTCACAGCGTTTGTGATATATTCAAGTACTCATACCAATACTGTTCGAATTTGTCAAATTGATAGGTGTAGATAAGTATCAGCATGGACATGGCATAGAAGATGATGAACAGCCAGAAGCCATACATAACTTTGACCCATACTTTCGAGGACGATTGGAAGACGAGCAAGAAGAAAAGGAATAGCGCCATGTAGCATATGCGAAAACCGGTCATAAATTTGCCAGTCATAGCGCACAAGAAGATCACCAACACCAACATCCAAATCCACAAACGCACCAACAGATTTTTCACAATATCACCGATTTTCTTCAGGAATTTCGACGTGTGCTTATTTTGCGATTCCACAGATGTTTCYGAATCGATCGTTTCCATGGGCATTACTACCGGTGCACGACGTTTTATTAGCTTCTCCTCGGCTTTCTCTTGGAAAAACTGCCTTGAGGTGACCCAAAACATGAGCAGAAACAGCGTTTTCACAATTAACGGTACACACGGATGTGTGCCATGCTCTTGCGGACGCTCGAGACCGATTTGTTGCAAATTAATGCCGGCGGTCTGAAACAAAAAAGCAACGGTAGTGGTAAGCTATGAGCAAAAAGTGAAGTGGARAGTGGTGTACCTCAACTTTGGAGGGTAATTCGTCGTTTTTCAGATTCATGCCATARACATATTGCGCTATGAGTAATAATTCCGCATAGCAGACGATGAACGGACTAGAGCGCATCATGGCTTTGCGCTGATTCGGTATCATCCAGAGTATGTTGGCCCACAGCAACAGCACGAAGGTCAGCCAGCTGTGGTAGACAATGGACCAGGTCTGGAAAAGGGAGAGAAAGGGTTAWCATAAGAATTTAAATTAATTTCTACATTCTTACATTTCGAAACACATAAATAAAAAAAAAAAAAATTAATTTTTATTTAAACAAGACAAATACTCACCATCATTGAGATATTCGTAAAAATATAACTGTTTTGATAAATAAACTGTCCAATGCTTATRAAACCATAGCATATCTGATCACATATGGTATTCGTAAAGACATCCGGCGAATTGGAGTCCTGCAGATCCATGGTAGCCTCATCACTTGAAGCATCTCTTGCGTCACTTTTGCGCAAGCGCTTCACCAGCTGTTCAAAAAAAATATTTTTAACAGATTAGTTAAAAAAATAATGAATAAGTAATTGGAAAAATGCAAAAATCCATAAATCAAACAGTTAGACCATAGACAAAGGGAATACTATAGACCGTTAAACGCTCATTAACGAACACAATGATGAGGTTAATTAATTGGTGATTTCCAACAAGAATTGCTAATTGGACAAAACGAATGTGAACGATGAAGAGAAATTAGTTCGGGGGTAATTTTGGGTGTATGAATGTTAATTTAAGGTTAGTTAATTGAATATTTAAAGTAACTGTAACCAATTTAAATTAACTGTAATACCAACGTACTCTTCTAAATAGACGAAACTGACATAATAATATATAATTTCTTTAAAATTATCGCAAGATTCGAATTAAATAAAGGGTGACAAAAAATGAAAGCAAGATTATTGCCATTTATGGAATAAAGCGTTGGCAACCATAAAAAATTTAATTGAGAGTTAACAGTTTAGGCATGGTAAAAATGGAGTGTTACACGATAGAAAAATATGTSTTCATTATCCAACAATATCTCAAAAATYATGGCGACCGCAGTACKAAAATTTCATACAAAATATGGTTGGTAGTTTTAACTWCGGTAACTGTGAAGAGATTAATTGAAGTGGCAGCGAATTTTTATTTTGGGTTAATTTTGGGACACCCTGTATTTTCTAATTTTAATATTTTCTATAAAAGTATGGTCAGAATAGTGTTTTAATTCATCAACCGTGAAGAGATTAAGTGAAGTGGTAGCAAATTTTTATTTTGGGTTAAGTTTGGGACACCCTGTATTTTAAAATTTTTTAACTAAATATGATCGGCAGTGTTTTAACTTYGTCAACTGTAGAGATATTAATTGATATGGCAGCAAATTTTTATCTTGCGTTAATTTTGCGACACCCTGTATTTTTTAATTTTAGTTATCTATTTTATTTTTATATTTTCTAATTTAAAATTTTATTTATCCTCTAATTTTTCTAATCTCTAGTGTATGTATGTACAATGTAAAAGAGCACGAGTTTATGCTGTTGAGGTGTCATGTTTTGCAAGTAATGCTAGTATGACGTCTTCTTATTAGCGTTGCGCTGAGAGAGAATAGAGCGAAAATCTCACTCTTAAGATTTTAAGCTCGTGAAAAAAGCTTTTATGCTATAATATGATTTAAAAACTAACTTCTTGTATTTATTGCATGAATCATTGCTATTATTACGTCAGCATGGCAACAATTACACAGCATAATCTCTGTACTCACTATATAAATTATATATCATATTCAAATGAGAAATTTTAATTAATTTTAATGAGAGAAAATAACAAAAGACTCTTCTTAAACGAGTTGAATAACAAAATTCCACAGTTTATATAATGTACATTAGAGCGGGTCGATTTATGGAGGGGGGAAAAAATACGAAAAATACGCATCATTCCAAACAACTTTGTCTGACACACTACGGGTTCAGAACCGTTTTCGAGCGATTTTTAAGGCGAATTTTTTTAGCGWTTATAATAATTTGTTCGTCAGTTTTTGCGATATTGTATTGAAATTTTATATTTAGGTGGATTTTGATATTCTATTGACTATTTGTGGAAAACTGCAAGATCGGTAAACTATATCACATATCTGCCATACAACCGATTATTTAGATTTTTTAAACTTCACCTTGAAAAAGCCAGCTCAAACCCGTTTTTAGACCCTTATTCTCTTAGACAAAGTTGTTCAGAATGTTCCGTAGAATATTTTCCGCATACGCGATTTTATAAAAAACAAAAAAAAATTTAACTAAAAAATCGACTCGCTCTAATGTGTTACGCTATGTACAAATTTTCAATCGCGACAGCGCCACGAAAAATAATATTTCGAAAAAAAATTTTTTTTATAAATAATTAACGCTGCTAAAAGCCCCAATATTGCCCTTTAAAAAGCAAAAGCGCTTCTGAAAACTAATTCTAATTTTTTGCATATTTTTTTTAGATAAAATTGTGTTAGTATAGTTATTACTACAGGAAATTAAAGTGCAGTCATTGTTTATGAATATTTACGTGTACATATGTATATCTACGACTTATATACAGTTATTAGTARCAGTATATTTCTAGTTTAGTTAAAGGCATTGAAGATTTACTAAATGGCAAGTAGTAGTCCTACAAGTATTAGTAAAACGAAGATAACATGAATTTTAGACAAACAGTTTGAACACTTAATGCTACCAAATGCTGAGTTATTAGTTGCTTGGCGTTAATTGTAATGAAGTTGAAGTTTTTTTTTAGCGAAAAGTTTAAGTTTGGTTAACACAATTGATGGTTTTATYTATTTAACACACATGTTAGTTTACGTACAGGTGTCGTCTCAGTCGGTTCGATAGTAGTTTTTGGACGTTGGTCACGACGTAACGAAACCTAAAGTAAAAGTAGAAAAGCATAAACTTAAAATAAACRCAATTGAAAGCAATAAAACTGTGCAGAATTTATATATTTTTTTTTCGAAAATTACATAATAAATACTTTTTTTTTAGTTTAAGGAGAAGAAGTGTGCAGATAGAAAAGATATACACAGCAAAGAAGTAGAGTTGTTGTAGAGAAATAATAACGAGTTAACAAATAATATTAAATAATAAAGAAGAAGGCAAATTAAGCAGCTAAAACGAAGTTTCAAAATTAAATAATACATACTTATTTTAATTTAAGTTGGAAAGTATTTTCAATAAAATATACAAAGCTTTTAAAATATTAATGTTTAAAAATTTGTATATAAAATAAATAAATCATTTCCAAAACTAAACCAAGTGCTAAAAATTAATAGAATAATGTAATTTTATTTAACAGGTGGGCTGAAAAGTTTGTAGGCTAACATAAAAAACATTTTCTTTCGATAAAAATTGATTTCATTATTCAATATAGTCATCTTCGGGAGTGATACAACGAATATAGCCATCGAATTGTCAGTACCATTTGCCTYAAGCCCTAACATTAGCCTCAGTTACTGTGATGACCTCATCATTGTTGCTAAATTGGTTCCAGCGAGCATTCTCTTGACGTGTGAGAACAGAAAATAATCACTAGGGGTCAGATCTTGAGAATACGTTGGATGCGGAAGCAATTCGAAGCYCATTGATTTRTGACACGCTGCGTTGTAGTGATAAACCGGCATTTTCTTCTTCTTCAGACGCTCCAATAACGCATTGTCACAGTTAATGGTTTTTCCCTTTTGAAAATAATCGAYGAATATTATACCMCGTGCATCCACAAATACACGCGCCACATCCTTGCCAGCCTACTATTGCGTTTTTCACGCTTTGGGGTCGGTTCATCTTTGCACAGTCCGTTCGACTAACTGTCGGTTAGACTCCGGTGAGAAATGGTAGAGCCATGTTTCATCCATTGCCACATATCGACGCAAACACTCGGATTCTTTACGCTTGAACATCTCCAAACACTGCTCAGAATCATCAACTCTTCATTATTTTTAGTCGAAAGTGTGCTCGCGCGGCGCGGCACTCAATTTGCACAGAACTTTTTTCCACCCAAATATGCATTCACAATATAACCAACACGTTCCTTCGATATATTCAGAGTCTCAGCTATCTCGAATAACTTCATTTTACGGGCATAMAAAATCATTTTCGGGACGTTTTTGAAAGTTTCGTCAGTAACAGCGTCTTTAGGTTGTTGACTGTTTGCATCGCCCTCGGTTCTCATTTCGCCTTTTTTAAACTTAGCAAACCACTTTTTAACCGTTACTTTCTCTAGTGAAAAATTCAAAGGCTGTTGATCAATCAAATTTTTGGGTTCAATGGTATTTTTTAACCCAAAAAGCAGCGCTTTATTAACACACGAAATAAAGGGCACTTCAGCTGTCAAATTTATACACGTCTCTTTAAAGGTAGGGACTGACTAAAAATCATATGGATTTAATATTAGTATTACCACCTCAGTATCGGCCTGCGAACTTTTCAGACCACTTGTTTAAACTAATTTACATATGTACATAAAATACAATATTGCTTCAGTTATGTTGACAAATTTTACCCGGAGTTAATTTGTTTTATACAATATTTAATAATTTAATATAATAGGCAATTTAAAAAATATTTAGTAGTATATAAATACAGGACATAATTACTTCTGATATAAACCTTGAATAATGATRTGCAGAAGGGATCCAGCTGAGGCTCATAAGAGAACTGTTTTCAGTGTTCTTAATCGTAAACTCAACTCTGATACCTAGTTGTGGACATGGTTGTGAATTTTTTATAAACAATTAATTCATATAAAAATTTTGGGATAAAAATTAGAGTTTTAATTTATTTA